AAGAGAATTGAAGAAACTTAAGTATATATTATGTAAAAAGAGAAAATGCTAATTATATGCTAAGAAAATCTCTATTAAGTATATGCAAGACTAAAAAGATAGGTCTTGAGATGAGTTTTAAAACTAGTAACCCATGTGATAACAAACATTGGTAGAAGTCTGAAGACTACCATAGAAGTTATCTTAAATAGAAACCCCTGAGATGCATTTAAGTTTCTGTTCTTGGAGCTGGTTGTCTATGAAGGTAATTCCTTTTAGTAGGAACTAGTGGGATAAGTGATAGCTTGCTCTAAATTTTGCCCTCTTTTCCTACTGTCATCTTCAATTCTTTTATTTCTGTGGGTCAGTTTCTCCCCATGAGACAAAAACAATGTTCTTACACAAAAAATTATCATAGGCTTTTTATACAAAGCATAATGAACTATACTTGCTTATGAATAAAGGGGGTAATTTTCTAAAGAAACTGGTGCTACGTTGGCGAGAGAGCATAACGAGGCAATTTGGTATTATCAACTGAATTGATAACATAAATTGGCCACCGTGAAGAGTTTTCAAAGCTGACGTTCAAATTGTTGGCCCCTCTTCAGATCAAAGGGCTACGCTCAAAACGTCACCATGAAAACTCTTTACGAAAGCAAATTTACGTTATCAACTCAGTTAATAATACCAAATTACCTTGTTATACTAACTCATTGATAGGTTCTGCGTTTCTGAAGTTCGCACATATGTTTGAATGGCTGCATGAGGAGTAGACAAACTTTTAGTCAAACTTCAGATAAGTTTTATTTTAAGCTCATAGTTGAGTGGTTTACGTAATAGTCTGGGAAAGTCCCGCCTGGACATGGCTGAATATAAATTTGTTCTGTAACGAACTATTAAATTTACCTCACTGGTTTTGGTTTTTTGAGATGTCGGCACGGCTGCTAAATTAGAATGGTTAACCCCACGTTTCCCATTAGAACTTGTTTGTTGTGAATTCCCGGAATAAACAATGGGATTCTTTCGCAGACGACCCAGTAGCTCAAAGCAATTATCAAGCAATGTGTCCATTCCTTCATTAAACGAGTTCAAACTGGAAGCCAAGGTAACATGGTCAGTGTGAACTGAAACGGAAGGCACATTACTTGCCGATCCATTAAAGTATATGTGTGTGGAAGACCGAGGCTCCATTTCTGGATGAGGTATTCTGCGTCGGTGACGATGTCTTCGATGTCTTCGATCATGATCATGTTTATGGGTTTCATTTGAACGATGTCTGTGCGAGGAAGACCTATGTGTTCGAGACTCCCGCTCATTCTCCCGTAGCCGTCGATCTCGCCGCTCGTTTGACATTTTACAAATGCACTTTATAGCAGTAGTTTCCTCCAAAGTCAAATTGCTTTTCTTTTAAGCCTTGCAAAAGATATGACAGCAATTTGTTTTCCTTAAATTTACTCTTCCTCCCGCCTCGATCTCATGATGCAACCGTCTTCCGTCTACTAGTTCCCAGTCTTTAGCGACAAGACGGGTTCGGCGATGTAATAATGCTATTATTTGCGTGGCTCTGCACTGAAATTAACCAAAAAGAAGCAGGAAAATCAGGGAGACTGGTCCGCAAACACATCGGTAGAATCTGTCCTCCTTACCCTCTCATACATGGGGGACAAGAGAATATAAACAGTTTATATTCTCTTGATGTGGAACCATTTCTCCAAAGTGCCAACAACTGTTCTACATGAATCCCGTTGTAGCTAGTTTAAACCTGAAAGGTACCACCTTGGCTTCACATTTTGATGGTTACATGGGTCACTGTCCATACCGGAGAACGCGGCCTAGTTGGGAGTTCTTACTATTTTAAACCATTTGTGCGCTGTTACAAAGCGCCGCAAACATACGTTATACAACGCTGGACTGAAATCAATTTCACCATTACTTTACCAGTCGCACATCTTGATTTGTTATCCAGCATCATCCATCTTTGGACCATAAATCCCTAGCGAGTATTTAACTGTGTGGAAAGTCCTGAGAGATCTTGATAATGACTAGCAAAGCACGGGTTGATGAGTAGAATTAATTTGAACGCGATGACGACTTGAAATAATTCACAAACAACTCAGTGACACGCAAATTTAAAATTGCATGAAAGAAACCTGAAAATGAATAAGGCCTAGGACAGGAAATGTGCTATTTTAATGCTCCCTCCATTCAAATATGAACAATGGATGAGAATAAATTGCAGATGGCGCTTGAGTTGATTAAAGCACCCTTTTTTATTGTTTTGTGAAGACCTCAACAGATGACTTGCTATCAAATACAACTTTGTCTATGACAAAGAAAGCAAGTGACCATTTATTGTCCTTAAGAGGATTACCATTATTCAAAATAATTTATAATAGGAAGTGCGATGCAGCTTTGGGATTCGCAATGGCTTCCTCCTCTATCATTTTGTTTCTGACGTAGATTTCACTTAGGAGACATCACTTGTCCAAAATTGATTAAAGACACAAAGTACGCCTGGCTTAAAAATTTAATTTTTCTGTTAAACTTTCTAGTTTATCATGTGCAACCTCTTAGCTTCCCTGTGATTAAAATCATGTGGTGAATTAAAAATACTGATACAGATAATTTTTCAAGATTATTTCATGATAGAAATAAATGTTGTGAAGCACAATTTGAACGAGACATCAAGCAGCTTGGTATAGTAAGTCTGTAGTTCGCTTTTACCGCAGCGATAACGCTAGTAGTACTTCCAATTTTAAGATGCCCTGAGGTATGAGAATCTTTCCTCCATCTGATGTAATTAAACAGAATACTGAAAGTAAAAGAAAAAGACAGATACACGGCATGAATCATTATTAAAACTGCGACTCTGTTATGTAGAAAAGAGAAATACGTGACTCACACACAAAAGCCTTAAGTAAATTTTAAAATATATCCAAGCTGAGTTAACATTACCATTTTATTGTATGGTCTCAGGGATTGATAACGACTCTGATAATTTTCCGATGGAAAAAAAAAACGAAGCAAGTCATCATGTTACTTCGTTGACTGTATGACTTGAATATTATTTTTGTTTTCAGCGACCGTAGAGTTGGTGTTTGTCATATAACAAACAAATAAAGCAAGCGAGCAATATTGTCATCCGCTTGATGAATCTGAAGTGCATAGTAAAAGTGATCATGCTGCCATCTAAATGTTAAGTCCCATGAACTACTGTATTTATAGTGAGTTGAATCCAATGACCGCATCTGAGAGTTTCTATGTTGTCTCAACACGAATGTTTTAAAGTTTGTTTCCTCAAAAGCTCTCATAGGTCGAACGTAAGCAATGACAAAAACCGTGTTCCCAACACTCTCTTCTGTTGAAACGAAGCCGATCGGTGGGGGGAGTGGAATAGATGATAAAAAATCTATTTATTATTGTTTGCGGAAGGTTTCAAATCCTTGATCAGTTTTAACAGTTATTTGAAATCGAGGATTTTTTTCCTGTCTTTTCGCTTGTCATCTGTGACGAAGACGCGGAATGATTTCCAAGCAAATTCAAGCGAAGCATTTTCATCTTTCTGTGTATCACGGGTCGATTATACTTTGCCGGTCTCTCTGTGTTGTGTCAAGTGAGTCCACAAGGCGTTTATTTTACAGCTCAGTAACTGACGTTTCCTTCTCGCTTCTTCCTCTGTTGTGAGCCATGTAGTTGACAGATTTCCCTTGTTGGTTTTTTGGTCGCGAACGAAGATGGCAGCAAAGGCAACACAGAACTAACGCCGCCACGACAAAAATAAGAACTCCAAGGAATATTACGATTATCGATATTGATGACAACATCGCGAGCTTGCGAAACGCACTCTGCTTGTGGCTTTGACCGATTGCACGAGAACTTGGCAATTGTCACAGGAAAGAAAATAATTAATTCGGTCATTTCATTAAAGAAATCACTTTTTCTGTCATTCTAAATAGGATTCATACAAATAAAAAGTTTACAAAGGAACTTTGAGGCCTTATGATTGGTTGTTGAAGATTCGCCTCCGGTGAACTTCCAGCTATTAGCTTGGACGATAAGAACAATTTACTGTTGACACTAACATGGCCTCAAAATGTTAGAAATTTTTGAATAGGATTACAAAAAAGACGAACAACGAAAATCCATCTTGGCTTAAAATTGGCAAAGTTTTTCTCAATTGAATGTAGTTAGTGTGCCGATTTTTTCGATGTGAATCAAAGGAAAGCTTAATGTTAATCCTAAATATTCGTCACCTATTTGCACTCCAATCCTATTTTGGTATTCCTTCCTGCCTTAGTATTTTATTTATCTATCAGTTTATTTTATTTATTTAAAGTAAAAAGAAAAAATACTTCTCTTGTGGCAGCCGCACTTCTGATATGTTATTTAATCTTCTTTTTTTACCGGTTTCCTTTTTGCAGTTTATTCCGGCTACGCACAAAGATACTATGGAATTAATTCACTTCATTCGGGCTGTAGAAACTAATCAAACTGTTTCTTGTTTGCTTGCTAAGAATATTTTGTCACCTTCGTTGAAACGAACAACTAGTTGTTAACGGCAGGTTCGAACGCATAACCCCGGGCTTTTTTAGTTCCATTTGTTTTCTAAGCGCCATTCTGAACACAGCTTTAAGATTCATCATTACACTGTATAATCATGCATAACCATTTTGTGCCTTCGGGTGATTTTAATTTCTTGCAAAATGGCCAAATATCAATGATTCTCTACCTCGACACCTTTGAAAGACATCAAAATTACGAACAGATTCATAACACTGTTGACTGAGGCCAATAATAAAACTCTGAATTTGAGGTCTTCAAACTGATACCCGATCGATTGGTCGCATTGAAAATTGAAAACGATAAAAATACTTTGCGAGGGAAATTTCCAGCTGCAAAAAACAGTCCAAGCCTTGTCCAATTTTAATAGAATACTTTCATTTAGAATTGAATAATACCTTCAATTGAAGGCTTTATTTTTGCATATGTCAATCAAATCGATTACGAACATGAGCTATTTCAATACATAAGTTTTGTGCCCACTTCGGTTGCGAGATGAAATTGACAATTACTATTCTTGAAAGAACACACAAGACAAATGCTGTCACGAATAATAAGAGAACTTGGGCGAAATTGAATTCATGTGTACACGACAGGTGAATCGGCCTCCTGGGTCTGTTTAATTGCCATGAGAGTGAAGTTCTCTTGGCTAAAGTAGAATAATTGATGAGGCACTTCTGGACCGATTGAGGCAAGTTTAATAACACAAGAACCTTACAGTGGGTTGATTTCGATTCCCATACACTGAAAAAGTTCCGTTTTACTGATCATTCTATTTCATCTGCAGTGAAATTCTGGCCTTAAACCGTTTTTACCTTGATCACTTGAACTAGGAATCCCACCATCAGGTCCAAGTAAATGAAATTACTGAAAGTTGTGAAATCGAAGGAACTTTCTTGAATATCCTGTTTGGTCTGAGTTATGAAAAAAGACTTTCATAAGTGAACACGATTTAAAATGCATTTTGAAAGAAAGCATGGCATCTGTGTTAATAAACACAATTGACATCTAAACGTTTGGAACACAAAATGTTGTTTTAATTTTGCCTTAACGAAAGACATCCTTTTGAACAATAAAATGAACATGATACTGCAAATAAACTGGATCCATACAGACAAAATCTTTTGTGAATTATTCTATCCTACTGTTCACAAATAAACCCTTTTACTTGGTCATAAATAAACTATGTAAATTTTTTTAATTAACTTGTAACAGACCCATAATAACATGAAATCACGCAAGATGGATTTTCATTTACATCCAAAAAATTCATATCTAAAATTTTTTTTAAAAATTAGATGCAATTGATTGATTTCAACACACCCTCAGAATGTTCCCGCAATCTTTAAACCCTTCAAAATCTCATATAAGAGATTTATCATGTTACCATACACTTCCTTTGATAACCTACTAGCAATCAAATGAAGGCGGCCGCAAAATATTGTGCAGCCAAGTAAACACCTTTTTATCAGAGTTAAGAAGCATTTCTTCAAGCGATTAGACACCTACCAAAGACGGAGATGCCAAATTTTCACTCAGAAATGTGGCAGGCGTGAAGCTCTCTATAATGTCAGAAAAAGTGTTTTCATTTTGCTATATCTTAAAATCTTTGACTGACTATGCTATTCCAAAGACGGAGATGCCAAATTTTCACTCAGAAATGTGGCAAGCGTGAAGCTCTCTATAATGTCAAAAAAGTGTTTTCATTTTGCTTTATCTTAAAATCTTTGACTGACTATGCTATTCCACCGCTTGTGAAAAAAATAAAATAATAATTAAAAAAAAAAAGGTAAAGAGAGACAAACTTTACGCTTGAAATGTTTCGAAAATTTATCGAGAGTGATGGGTTTTTTTTTAACAACTCAAAATTCAAAATTTTCCTTAGATCCACAGCTGCGATTTTGAAGGGTTCTTTCCGGCCTCAATTTCTTCACAAAATCTCGAGCAGCTGAATTTGGACAAAGAAAAACTACTTTGGTGATTTAAGCATAGTGTAAACAACGAGCTTGTGTCTCTTAATGTGAGTCCCGGCAACAGCGACGAGTGCCACATAGGTATAAACTTATAAGTATATAAATCCCGAGGCTAGATACTTCTTATAAATCTTACGATATTTCGATGTATGGTTATTTACATATTTAACATGTAGTCCACAGTTTATGTTACGAGGCTTTTACAGGCGACGGCGTTCTTAGGATGGCAACAGCATCATCGTAACCCGCGCGAAAGCCGCTCTCCATATCCTGGAGACTGGCCTCCAGGCTGTGTGTGGTGATCGAGTGCGCGTGATGGGCCTGGACTAGACGTTCCAGCCGTGAAATGATCTCGTAATCTGGGACCGAAAGCGTGTTGATGTCGAGACCAAGAAGGCGAGCTAAGACTTGACGGAAATCCAGCAACTGTAATAGATTGATCAAAAAGAAGGTAAATTTGAACATTGGTGGATATTGAAAGAACTAAACTCTTAAAACTTTTACGTTCTATCTAACGAAGCTTCCTAAATTCCTCAGTGTTTAACAGGTACTTCAAGGCTGTAGTCTCAGAAATGGCTCCATCAGCTTTGAGCTTTTTGCAGGATTAAGAATCTAATAAGGATTCGTAGTTGAAAAATCGGTTCAATGTCGGTATCTGAGTAACTACGCATCCACCCCTCCCCTCGCCCACCAAAAACCCTAATTTAGTTGACTTTCGGTGGCGAATTTAAAATCGTCAACTCAGTTGATGAAACCAAAATTATTAGTTGACTACTGTTGGATTAGGGGACTGTTAGGGGCACAGTTGCTTAGATACCGACATTTATCCGAAAAAATCTTGCTCGGTTCTTTGTGAGAAGAATAGAAATTTCCCAAAGAAGAGACGCCTAGCGACTTGTGCTGAGAAAGGGTTAAACAAAAAATAAAGAATAACATTGACCCACAGTGGATTGAGTGTACAATACGACACTGTATCTACCTGTTTTTCTCTAACTCTGCTCTCTTCCAAAGCCCGTTTCGTTGTTTGTAATTCACTGTTTAGTTGCTGTACAGTCTCGGAAGATCGTGCTTTTTTCTCTCGATGCTCGTTCTCCGTCATTTCCATTTCGTTCTTCAAGTCGTGCAGTTCAGTTGAAGTCTTGTGCTTACTCTTGGCAAGTTTGTTAATTGCATTTTCTAGTTCTTCGATAGTTTTTCCTTGCTCCAAAGTTCTCACCTGCACAAGATAAAAGGGTTATTAAAAACTGATCGTTGTATGATCGCAAAGAAAGAGTTATCTAAAGGGGCTAAGTTACAGTTTGAACAATTTGAAAAATGTTCCACAAATTTTTCATGTCAGTTTCCTTTTGCAATCCGTGTCCTCCTTTCTTATCAACCCTTGTTCTTTTTCGGGATTTTATTCACTTTTTCCTGTTGCTCTATCGTGTTCATGTAACATCGTTTAGTGTATTTCAAGTTCAACGTATAGTAGAAGCGTGCGTCGCAAAATGAAAAAAACTTCTCATTATTCGCGAGGCACTGAGATACATGGCCGCTACCTAACAGTTCACTGGATATCATTTAACAGCCAGGAGCTGTTCACATTTGTTATATTTCAGCAAGGCTTCAGCTTTATTATCAACTACTTGCGACTAGCACTTGAAAAGGGGAACCTAGGATGTACCCATATAAAGCAAACCCATACTCAAGTCCGGTGGGTGAAAAAGGAACTAACAAGCTTACCACACTTACCCTAAGTTCGCTGGCCTCAAGTAATTTTGCCTTTAGATTGGTCACTTGTTGTTTATAATCAAGCAATTCTCTCTGCAATTTATCATTATGTTTTACAAGTTTCTTGTATCTGATCGAGTTCTCGTCTCTCTCGACTTCAACGCGACCTTTTTCGCGCAAAAGTTCTTCAAGTTCGGAGACTTTCTTTTTCAGTAACCCCAGGTGTAGATCTTTGCTCTCCATCTGTTGTTTGGACCATTTAAGTCGTCTTTGCAGGTTATAAATTGTTGTCTTCCTATCATCCAGAGCATCCGCCTGTGTAAAAAAAGAGTTCACATTTAACGCCACATTTTCTTCCATTCAAAAACAGAAAAAAAATGAACTGTGTTAAAATCTACGTTCCACAAATTTACCCTGAGGGAATGGAGGAAACTAACCTCTAGCTTGACTAACTGTTCTCCTCTCGCCAACAAAGCCTCACCGTTCACATCCAAACCAACATCATCAGCGATTTCATCCAGTTTCATGACACGGGCCAGTTTTTCACAAAAGGTTACAAACTGAAAAATAACACATAAAGACGAAGCGCTGTAAAAAAATGCCAAAGAAAAAGGTTCACGCTTTCAGCATCAACTGAATACTTTGCGACTGTATCCAGCCAACAATGCTTCCTCGTAAGGTTCGAAGCATTCTAATATCTCAGAATCTTTGAAAGTTCTCTCGTGCACGAAACACTGATTGCATTATGGTCCGTTATGATGTGCATGCAACAATCACTAGGCCTTCAAAGTCACAATCTTACAGTCTTACCTTTCTCTTGTCGTCTTTCAGTTGATCTCTCTCTACGTCAGAAGTAAGAAGTTCTCCTTCAAGTCCCGTCACACGTTGCTGGTTCTCTTTCAGTTGGGTCTCTGCCTCGTTGGCTCGTTTTAGAGTAGTGCGGTGAAGGTTTCTCTGGCTTTCTAGCTCCTCTGATAGGTTTTTGAACTGGACCTTCAATGATTCCTCTCTCTGAATACAGCCAAAGATTGAGCCAATTAGATACAAAAACGATAAAAAAACCTATTTCATCTATGTTACTACCCTTTATTGCAGTATTTTGAACTAAAAGCATTGTTGCGTCACGTTTTTGTAAGAGTTCGTTTGTGCATGATTGCAAGATTATCCAATCACAGCAGAGAAAAAACCCAATGATTCAAACTCAATTCAATTGTTCCGATCAGTGCTTAGAACCAAAGAGCCGGGGCAAAGATAACACAGAATCCGCATGTAATTCATGACACTTTTATGTTGCATCGCACTGTTCGGTCTGGTGTTAAAGGCCTCAATAACAGCGTGTCCCCCTCCCCCTGTAACAAGTGCACTTACCGATTTGACATCCCTGTAATCTCTGACAACATTCTTTACTTTAGAAACGATGGCATCTTCTTCAGCCGCAATGGAATCATCTAAATCTCCAATCAGCTGCGCCAGATGCCGCTTGAAGTTGTGTAGCTGCAGAGAGAACCAAAAAGAAATTATTGAAACCTCTACAGCTATAAAAATGAAAAAAAATACACTTGCCTTCTAACCAGGCTGAGCAACAATGACTCACCACTTTTGTGTGAATGGACAGACTCAAGTTAGAAATTCTCAATTAAGGGCGTTCAAAGTAAACCGTGATCACATTTGTTTTGTTTGAGCGCCCTCTGTGTACAGTTGGTCCAGAGATTGCACTTCATCTTCTAAGTTAACCAATCAGATACTAAAATAGTACCACTAGTTTACTACACTTTAGGATATTTACAAGAAGTACCCTTGAGTCTTCATTGGTTACTTGCGATATTTCTCCAATTCGATTGATATCTTCAGTTTCAGTCTACAACACACTTTTGATAAGCTTAGGCTCCAAGTAAGGGTCCAATAATCCATTTCCTGCTAATACACTATACCCAGTACTTCTTCTGCATCCCATTTGTTACATCAACCGGTTATGAGATTGTGAGAGAAAAAAAACTCTTCTTTACAAATTACAAACCTTTGATTGAGCTGACTGGCCAGTGTATGCACTGGTTTGCAGTGTTTGTTCCATCTCCTGCAGCCTGTAATAAGGTAGCAATGTATAATCTGTCAGTTTTTAGCATAAAAAGAAAAATTAGAGAACTTCTTGTAACCACACACACTAATGATCTGAGTCTACAAACACTAACTGCAGTCAAAGGGGTGAAATGAGCACAGGCCTGTATACTCATATGTCCCAAATTTAATGTGATGATGCTCATAAATGCAATTTGGTTCATACTGACATGCATTGTCAATTTTTGCTGATTCAGTGAATTTCAAATATTTTACAGTAAATAATGAAATAACAAAACTGTTTCAAGACTGAAAGTGTTACATTTGGTTCTACCAAGTGCAACCCAGACTAGAGCCTTGAAGAGGAATTACACTGAACATTCTGAACACTAGCCACTTTCAAACCAGAAGTTGCAATGAAGTTAACTTGAAGTTGACTTACTTATTTTCTTTTTCATCAAGTTCTTTTTTGGTGACCCCCCAGGCATCTTGACTTGCTGCTAGCTGATGTTTCATTCGATCAATTTCAATTTCCATTTCTCTGATCTTTTGTTGCAAAGTGTCCCTTTCTCTGGTTAAGCTGTTAATGGTTTGTTGACTCTGACCAGAACTCTTCTTCTCTTGTCCCACTTCTGAAACCAATCTCATTATGGTTTCCCTGAAAACACCACAAACTTAACATTTCAATAATAATTGGGCCAACTTCTTGTCTGATGATGTTCTTATAGCAGAAATTATAGCCCTTGTGGAGAACCTCACATAAGTTACATGTGATTGCTTCCAGAATTGTTGAGGTTAGAAACAGCAAAATTGCAGAGTTGGAAAAGTCTTGAAAGTCAATAATAATTCAAAATAACAAGCCTTGTGACATAAAAGAACCACAAATAAAATAATGTTATGTAGTCTTCAACTACAATTGCAATAAATATAAGTTACAAGTCAATCAAGAAGGAACAAACCTGCTGGCTTTAGACTCCAAGTTACTTTCATGTAGATTACGAGACAATGCACTTGCTTTTTCTTGCAAACTGTTCCTCTCTCTGGCTATTTCTGCAATCTGAAGATCACAATTTAATCAAATCATAAAGCTCATTAGACCAATGTTATGTTGACAATTCATGTTTAGATCTGGCAAAGAAACACGGATTTTCAAATAGTTTCAGTAATACTAACTGTAAACCAAAGCATGTTCACTTGACAAGTTCTTATTTAACAAAGACTGAGGTAGGTTGCAACCACGGAAATCTGGTGTGTTGATATTAATGCACAATACTTAAGGTTTTCAGAGGACTTAGAGTGTAAATGACCAAACCTCTAGCAAGAGGGCATTGGGATTTTTGGTTTTGTGGTTTTGGCTATTTTTTAGATTGGTTTTTCGGCTTTTGTACAAAAAACTTCAGTTTCTCGGTTTTGGTGTTCATTGCAGTTTGCCAATTTTCTGTTTTTTAACATTTAGTTTTCAGTTTTTGTGAAAAATATTAACAGGTTTTCAGTTTTTGTGAAAGATATTAACAGGTTTTCAGATTTGATATCCGATGCATTTTTTGGTTTTTCCTATTTGACCTATTTGGGTTCTGGTTTCTCTTTGTCCTGAGCAGCAATTACATGCCTCCACTGATCTCAAATAGCAGCTAAATGCAAATGTTATCAAGACAAATGCTTGACAAACCAATTTGAATATTGTGGTGATCCCTAGGTAGCTTACATGTAGCTGTACCCCCCCCCCCCACCAAGGTGGGGGAGGGAAGGGAGGGTGTGGCTATATGTAGGGTACAGCTAAGCACGAAACATTGTCAGGGTTTCTTTATCAACGACACCACAAAGTTGTGACCAAGTTACAGGCCACACGTGACTGATTGATTCAATCTCCAAACTTTCAGGTCTTAGTTTGCACATGGAAATGTTAGATTAGGGATTTTTGATTAAACTTTCCATAGCTATAGCTTTTTGCAACTGAAAAATTGCAATCCTATAGAGGACTTCTGCACGAATTTCCTTAATTAACTAGACTCCACTACTGCAGAGACCATGCTTGAGGTCCACGAGAAAGCGGATGTTAATTTAAGCAGATGCTGGAAGATATGAATGCCAAGTCCATGGCATTCATAAATCCTATAATGAAATTAGTGTAGTTTACTCTGTATGTTCCACTTGTCACCAATGTATTGGATCAATCAGGGTTTTAATAACTGGGATGTGAAAATGTATTGGTTTTGACAGTTTTGCATGTGGTTTTTTGGTTTTTAGATGATTTTTTTTCTATGGTATTGCAGTTTCTAATAAGCCCCAATGCCCCCCTCCTTAACAACAGACTCACCCTTCCAATAAGAGAGTGCAGAGACACAGACAAAGTTTCAGATGCATCCAGCTGCAGAGCTTGAGTCAACTGGGATTTCATCTCACCATACTGCAGATTAACATAACAATAAATTCAATTCAACAAAGGTCACCAAAATTAATAATGCACTTTGATTACTGGAAACAAGCCGTGATGTATCAAAATTCCTGAGTTTTGATTGGTTAACAGGTCATGTTGCCCATGGCAATAGACAAATAATTTTACAACTTGCCTCATCAAGAGTATTCCCCATTTCCCAAGCATATTTTGCCTTCTTAATTTCTCTGAACAGTTTATTGGACTGGTACCCTTTTGTACTCCTGGACTAGTAGATTCCAAGAGATTTCTATTTGTCCATTGGTCATGCACTGCTGGGTGTACAGCTTCGACACATACCTTACTCTCCCATTTGGCAGCTCTGCCAGAGGCTTCCTCCTCAGCGGCAATGTGGTGCTTGAGTGATGACTCTACCTGCTGCAGACGATCTTGCTGAGTTTGTATTTCTTTTTTCAAAGATGATATGGTGACATCACTACGGTTTGCAAAATTTTCCTTCTCTGTTGCTTCATCCTCAGCTTCTCGTATTCTATCACGGAGGGAATGCACCAGTGCTGTCTGTCTAGCTGCATTTTGTTTGTTGCTTTCAATCTCACACTGTAAAAATGATTTTAAAAAAGTATTTAATGATCATAATACAAGATTCATGAAATCATAATGCATATGTCCTGCAAGTCATCACCATTATCACAGAGCTAATTTAAATAAATGACTATGAATATAAGAAAATCATATGCATGTATGTCAACTGTGGATTTAAAGAAATGAATGTGAAATGATCTTTGCAGTAACAAACACTACTTAGGCAGTATTTTCACTTCTGCTTACATAGTGTTCATCACAGTGAAGAGGATTGCTCTCATATTCACAGTTGATTAATCTTAGTCATTGATATGAATTCAATGAGGCAGTGAATTTAAATCCTCCCTTACCTTGAACTCAATAATTTGTTGATCCTTTTCTGATATTCTCTGCTGAGATTCTCTTAGCTGTAAAGAAAAAAAAAGTGTCTGATTAACATTCATCCCTGTATATGCCTGGAAAAACCATGATGTAGCTCCTTTTATCAATAATCTTACATAGATGAAAAAGAGTGACATACCTCTTGCTGTAAACCAGATGATACCACTTTTTCAGCAGCAAGGTCTGTTTGTGCAGTTTCTGCAGCTTGTCTGTAGTGTGATAACTGTTGTGAAGAATTGAATAATAATTTATTTCAGTGGATATTTGTTAAGATAGTGACTGATTTTAACTTCTTTCTTTTAGACCTGAGGCTTGCAAAAGCTTATCTCAGCCTGGGTGAGGAGCATGCACTCATGGGACAACACCATAACCTGGCTAGAACTCAAAAACAGAATGAGACACAGCATTTCCTGATGTAAAGGTCAATTTTTAATCTAGCAAGCATATCTTTTAGGGCTGCATAATAAATCACATTGCTGGTAGGGACTGGGGGACCTAAAAACCCTCTGACACTGATGTGCTTTTTTCTTCTGGAACAACACTCAATAAAAACTTAAACAAGCATGTGTTAATGATCGTAGTATTAGTATATTTTATACCTGTGAACTTAAATGTTCTCTTTCTTGTTGAAGTCTTGAAATCTTATCTCTGAAAAGCTGACTTTCATCCAGAGATGATCCAAGTTCCAATGAAATGGAGGGACTACGGCAAACAATAGCCCCTGATTCAACCTGTATTTCAAATACCACAAAATAATGTGAGACATTTTGGGGACTAGAAGGTAGATAGGAGGTAGGAGTCAGGATTCCACCCAAAACAGAAAGCAATATATATAAAAATTAAGAAATCTTAGGTGAGAAGTGATGCAAAATAGTCAATGTTGCTGCTTAAAAAGAGGAGCAAGTTTACCGTTCACATTTTACATGATCAGTGAAACACAGAGAAGCAAAACTAATGAATTCTCTAAGTACTTTAGAAGTAATTCTACAAAAACAAAAAAAACAGCAAAAAAAAACTGAGAAATGAACTATCCTTTTGATACCAAAACAAAATTAGACTTTCATCGATTGACAGGGGCTAATTGAATTTACTTAACTTTCTGCAAGAAATAATATATTTAATATTATTTCCCATAATGCATTAACACTTAAAAAAGAAACAAAACAAAACTACAAAGATTGAGAGAAAATTTTTTCCAAAGTCTTATCAATGCAAAGTGAATCTTGATGATTAAGAATTGAATCATGAAGAGGTCCTTGAGTTTTTTCCTTGAGTAAACAACATCCAAAACCTTAACAAATACCATCTCCTAACAATGTTTGCAGTGTTTGGTTGCTAAAGAACTTTCTCTGTTCTTTAATTAAGTTTAAATAATTGATTAGTATAGGGGAATCTTTACAACATACTGTGAATTGCATTTATGTGTAGTAGGTTTGTAAAAAGAAGTAACACTGATGGAATAAAAAGTACATTCCATTCAAACTTGCCCCTAGTTTAGTCTTAATGTATTTATTCTTTAGATGGATAAACCAAGCTTAATTGCGATACAAAACTTGCACTTGTAATTTTGAAAAAAAGAAATTCATTGATAATTTCAAAAATACATCATGCACATGTGGTGATTCTTACTGATAACTTATCACTTTAAAAGTTTTTATACTGCAGCTGTTGCTCTGAATAATGCTTGGAAATATATAAACCCTTCAGTAATCTTGAAGTTTACCACTAGCAGAAGATACCGCGGTTTCTACCTTTGTGAAAACTAAAGAAATTCCATCCGACATTTTTCTCGATCTTCCAACTTCATGAAAGCCAATTCACAAATCCGAACCAGAAAGATAATGTTGGAGTTCAAATGAAAATAAAAAAGCCAATTATGATCTAAATGACTCGAATGATCATTAGTTACAGACAGTTTGTTCTGATCAGTCGTCAAGACAGTGATTATTACTCAAGGAGATATTAAAAATACCTCATTTCGTCTGGGAATAGGTGAACTCGTTCGAGAACTGTTCTGACTGCCAGATTTTCTGTGCCCTATGATCATCGGTGGAGAATTTCTATATAACTGTCTCTCATTGCCATGGTCCCTCCATAGCTCGCGCACATCAACACCTGAGTCTTCGAAGTAAGTGAGTTGTGTGCCGGGTTTTGCCCCTACAAGCCTCTGTTTTGGAATTTTAGGAAAATGCTCTGATCTGTCTGAGTGTAGGGATGCCATCACATCCTAATTTTTTATCGAAAATCGAAAGAGTCTCTCCAACCTTTCACGTACAGTTCAAGTTCATATAATGAAGTTTTTTCAAAATGGCGGGCGTAATATTTAGGTCCTTTCTTAGTTGCATAGCAACAAGAGACGCTCGTTTTAGACCAGCCTCAAGTTTGAGAAAAACTACCCGGGTAGTGAGGGGAGTAAATTGATAGGAGTTTTACTGGAGAAAAAAAAACCTATCACAACTGTTTACGTCTTTTCTTTCTGAAGTTTCCATTTTTTCTTTGTCTCAATTGCGGGTGGATGACAGGGGAACAGGGCAGATTTCCTCTGCGTGACATCGAGAGAATTGTTTTTCGTAACATTCCTGCTTCAATCCCCCTCCTATTTTTAAAAATAGCATATGCAGTAAATCAATTCTCGAGTATATAATGGATTTTGGCATGAAAATGGTGGTAAACAAAGCATATAATCAATTTTTGCACGCTAAGAAGTTGCTTCCATTCGAAGCCTATAATTCTCAAGTCCGCTTTGATTGGCTGACGCTAATGAATAATGATTACTTTCTTATTTCTGATTGGTTGAGGACGGACAAGCTCTTCAAGACGAAGAGGCGACGCGGTTTGGATTAGAGTGAGTGATTATATTGCTGAGTTTTAATGCTGATAGTTTAGCATCCTGATTGTTTTCTACGGACGTGAATAGATTGGTACGTTTCTTCAATGTATCCTTTTCTAAAATCTGGCTTTTAATTCACTTGCTTTTCCTTTGATTTTGCACAGGACATCATGGAAAACCCCACAAGTGTTCCTGAATTGATGCAATTCGTCCAAGCGACCTTACAAAACATGCAAGAAAAGTTTCAAAATGTCGAAGACTCAATCGTGAAACGAATGACCGAGACTGGGAAGAAACTGGACGAGATAGAGAAAGGACTCACGGATCTGATGGATCATTCTGGAATGGGGGAGCCTTATGAAGAAGATCTTGAATCGGACAAAGATTTCTCCGATACAGACAAGGGCAGATGATGATGATGAATCGCAGATGACGGTTGCTGGTAACCCCGGTTGCTAGAGGCATAAGTAATGTAAACAGATCGTTCACTTAACGTAGATTATTTTTATTTGAGTAGATTCCACTATGTGTTTTTTAGTATAGTTGTTAGAAACATTGTGTTCTTTTTCCAATTTTATGTGTAAAGCAGCCCAAATCCTGCAAAACGTTACTTTACGGTGGTATGATGTTGAAATTAGTGGCCGTCGCAGTGTGTACACTGACACTACAATTGCTTACTGAGTCAACTGGTGAAGCCGATTAGCGAAGAAATAAGCTTTTGACAAACATTTTACTTTTATTTAAATTTAACCTGCAAGAAAAAAAATTGTAACGTAGAGGGTATCAATGAAAGTACTTCCAGTTTTTTATATTGTAAGTATGGTTTTAATGCTAGATATATTTGTGTAGTTTGGGACTAAGAAATAAACTACAAGTTGTCATGACTTCAGTTGAAATCATTATTCTTAGATTCCTCTAACTCCTAAGTCTCAAGTGATCAGAAGGTAATTTCTCTTCAGAAGTTTAAGACACTCTCAAAGTGATGGTTGATGGAAACTAGGAAAAATATGTACTTGCTTTTTTGTGAATTATAAAGAATGGCCACAAAAGGAATAAACGGTGCATATATCATTGAAATAGTAACACATTTATCGTTCGTGATACACATTTTTTTTTTAAATTGTGTGTGATGTGGGTCAAAATGTCATACAAATGTACAAATTCCTTACATTTTGAAAATATGGAGCTCTGTATATTTGCTGCATTGTGCAGTGTTTTAATTGACAAGGCAAATCATAGCAATAACCAGTGGATCCAGAAATACTGTTTTTATTCATAATGGTCTGATTTGAATGACTCAAACAACCATCTCCCTCAAGCTAACACCCTCCTGCTCCACTTTGATGGAGAGAGTGGACTGTATACAGGAAATAATCATATTAATGTCTCTTAATAGTACTCTAACATGTCTTGTCAAGTGGCTATTTAAAGCTCAGTGCTATTTGCTTCACGTAGTATTCCACGACATCACATTCATTCAAAGCAAAACACAAATCTCATGCAATTCTTAAATTTTCCAGAACTAGCAGCAGAACGAGGGCCATAGTTGGACTCTGCAAGATACTTTTCCATACATACTTTAGACAGCTTGTCACAATCTACTTTTGGTGGAAATGTGACCCATACAAAATATCCTCCTTCAGGTCTTTGGTAAGATATCTGACCCTCAGGTATATCTGTGTCTAGGGCATTGCATAATGCATTATACAGGACTTCTAGGACCCTCCACACCATTGATAAGTGATCCTTAAGTAGCCCTTGTTGCAATGCCACAGCAATAATGCATGATAAGTAGTGGTTAAAGCATCCACCACAAATAGCATATTAAAAACTTTTCTGCAACAATAATCACACTCATTCAGGAACCTCCATCCACCCAGGATGCAGCCTTGGAGCAAGGAACTTTAAAAAAAGAACCATTAGAGATGACATGCCCTTTATAATTGGCATTACACTTGTCATCAAATGTGTAAAGTCTTTCAGGAGGTGTTTGTCACCGGTGTAAGACAGCAAATTGTACATGTCACCACAAAAGGCAAAAAGTTTCTCGGAGCTTGCTTATTAATGATGTGCATCAACCTTTCTTCAGATAAATTTGTAATTTCTTTTTTATTGGGTTTATCATGGCTGTCTGATCTTAGACACTAGTTTCTGATTTTAGGCACCAGTGTCTGACTTTAGACAATAGTGATTCCAAGTGTCTTCTGATTGAAGACATTAGTGTTCAATGTTGGACACTACTGTCTAATTTTAAACACTAGTTTCTGATTTTAGACACTAGTGTGCAATTGTTGGACATTGTCCAGGAGTTTTTCATCTTTATTTCTGCTCCCAGATTGCCATAAGATGGAGGGGGAGGGGTGGGGTGTTAAAGGGATGACACACAAGTGAAAATGATGGGATTTGATTGAAAATAATTCAGTTAACTCCTGGGAAGACCAAGTAACCTTTATGAACAGGGGTTAACATAGTGCAGAAGTAAGAGCAGTTGCAATTATTTTGATGATAGCCAAATGGTTCAAATGTGACCAAAATGATTTCCTTGGAAGACAGTGTGTTTAACTTTTCCCAGAGCAAGACTAACACCTGGGATTCCAACCCTCATGACAAGCTCACTCCGTATCAATAACTTGAAGACCCAGTAAAAAACTTAATGTGTTTTTAATGTGCACAATATGACAATACTAATTATTTCAAAGATTAACATTTGAAACAACTAATCTGGAAATATCTAATTTTACTGACATAAAATGAAGTTCAAGAATAAAATTTGAGTTGAGCAACTGTGATTTAACCTTCCCACTGTTTATGAACTAAATTTAATTAATGCTAAATTTAACAAGCTAATATTTGTTATCAAGTTACTATCTATTGCAATTTTAACAGACAGAGAGAATTAAGACATAAATTCAAACTCAGTAATACTGATAAAAGCATGTTAGAAATAGCTTATCTTATTTTGCTTGTTACAACTTCCCTAATTTAAATTAAAGAATGTACTGTAAACTGCTGATTGTACTCACTCTTTCTCACATGTTTACATTAACAAACCCATTCAACCCCAAAATTAATTTTGATCTCCTAAGATTTTTTCCCCAAAAAATTATAGTACATGCATTAAAATTTAATTAAGACTACTAAAACTTCCAACCTCTCTAATTGAAGAGTACCCTTAGGCTTCAAAGTAAAACTTTTTTATTCTTCCTTATAAAATAACATGTATTACAATTTATTTTCTATTTCACCCATAAATACATCTACACAACTTAAACTAAGATAAATTAAAAAATGGAAAAATTGCCATCAAAGTAAATTTAACAATCATGAACTGAATCTTAAATTATTTACCAGCTCTCATTTGGTGTCAGAAATCATGATTTATTCTTTTTCAGTATTCATTTATTTTGGTATACTTTTGCAAATTTATCACTGTCCATTTAAAAGGATTTCATGATGTTTAGTATCAAAAAAGAATTTCTTCCTTACCTCAATGCTACCCTTGATTCAAATGACACAGCAATCACTTCAAAAACAAAAGTCCCCCTATTTTTAGATATATTTACTTCGAAGTCCATAATTGTTAGTTGCTTGGGAAAATTTCTTCAATTGCTAAAGCTATTTGCTTCACACAGTGTTCAAGGGTAGGACTGTCAAGAAATGCAAATGAAAGCCTCATACAATTTTTGTATTGTCCTTTACACGAACATCGTGAGCCCTTGTTAAAATCAACAGCATACTTATTGAAACAGATGTCATATAGTTTATCGCAGTCAATCTCAGGGGGGAGAACAACCCAAACAAAATAACCTCCCTGGGGTTTTGTGTATTTAATTGCACGTGGAAAGTACTTATCCATAGCACTACATAGTGTATTCAACTGGGACTTATAAAGCTCTCGTGCATATGCTACATGCTCCTTTACCAAACCCATTTGTATTGCCATGGTAACAACACAAGAGGTGTAATGGTTGAAGCAACCCCCACTTGTAACATACCCAGAAGTCCTCAAAATCTTTCTTACATGTTCAGGGACCTCCATCCAGCCTAGACGCAAGCCAGGTCCTAACAGTTTGGAAAAAGTTCCATTTGAGATCACATTTCCTTTGTAATCAGGATCAGCCTTGTTATCAAATGAAAAAAGCCTAGGGGGAACTTTAAAAGTAGGTTTTTCTCCATCATAAGAGAGCAAGTTGTATACATCATCACAAAAAGCAAGCACATTGTACTTCCGAAGCAGTTTGATCAACTGCTTACACCTTGTTACAGAAAGTACAGAGCCGGTTGGATTGTTAAAAGTTGGAATGCAATAGAGCAAACCAGAGAATGGATTTCTCTCAGTTATAACTGGCAATGTCTGCAAATGTTCTGCCATTAATTTCTCCAACTCATCAACAATCAAACCATCTTGATCTGTCGGAACCCCCACCAAATTCATCCCAAAGTCATCTGATAAAGCTTTAAGGGCAAGGAAATAAGTTGGTTCTTCGACGAAAGCTACAGTCTTAGGCTGAAAGAGGAGGCTTCCTATGCAGGCCAGGCCTTGTGAAGCA